TCCTCTAGTGCCTGGTTGATCTCCTCAAAGCACAACAGTAAATCAGACATTATGGACTGGAGCAATAACTGTGTCTGGGCAGCTTGGTCCAGCATGCCTAACAGGGTCTCATATTTACAGATGTTTGGATTCAGAAAGGCATAGGCTGCCTGGTGAGCCCTCACCATGAGTGGTGGGAAGTCCACCTTTGTCTGGATAATAGAGGAGTTCCTTGGCTTTTCAGTCAACTTTCTCTTGCCTTTATTTTTCTTTCTTTTGTCCATTTTTTTTATTTTATCTGTTTGCACAGCCTCACTGACTATTTGTTGAGGCATGAAATTCACATCTGTTTCTTTATTCTCCTCTGTCGTTTGGGCAGCTGTTGTGTTGGAGGACAACTGAGACCATTCAGGATCTTTTGATGGACATTCTTCAGGGAGTAGTAGAAGTGCATTTTCTTTCTCATCAGTCTTCAAATATTTGTCCTCTACAGGTCTACAATACAAACTGTCCTGTAGCGATTCATCTAAAAGAGCTTTTTGAGGTCCAGTGGTTCCTGGCATTGAAAATAACTTTCCTTTGGATGGTGAGCAGCCCATTTTTGTATTTAAATTTGATTCAAGAAAAAAAAAATTTTTTTTGAAAATGAGTCAGGAAAAAAAGTCAAAGTGTAAACCTCTAAGTAAGGATCTCTGTCATTGGTTCAATGAGGCTGTCCGTTGTCCTTGTGCTAGGTTCCATATATTTCCTTGTGTTTTTCTGCTTTCTTCTCAGAGGTTTGTGCTCAAATAGTGTAGGAAAGACACACGTACACCCTGTCACGTAAACTGTCTACCTGCCAGGGCTCGCAAAGGAGAGGAGCTGAGAAGATAAGACGGATTTGGGGCTTTCTTCCCTCTCTCTCCTTTAGCACACACAGTTGGGCATGTTAAGTTCATCAACACATATACACAGCCATACACACACAAGCTTTTACATATAAGACGTTAAGCTCATCAGGTTAATCAGAGCTGTGTTTGTCAGGTGGTGTTTTTAGCTTCACTGTCCTGCTGCTGAGGTTTAATTGTTGGGTTTGTTTGACAGATAAACACCTTTGTTTTCTGAGATTATATGGCCACCAGAAATGTCAGTCTATACTTTTTGCATGCATTTTAACCATCTTAAAAATTTTCACCACTCACATCACCATGTGTGCACGTACATTCACACACAGAATTAACAGGATGCCTCTTCTGTAAATGCTGGGTAAAGCTGCCATTCTCAGTCAAATGTTTTCTGAATAAGTGAAGAAAGAATCTGTCATCTGCTCCATCCTCAGCATAAATTCCTGGCATGGTAGACAATAATAAAAGTGATAATCTTTTTTTATTGAGCACTCTTCTAAACTTGCATTACACAGTCCTTCAGACAAAATAAAAACAAAGCAATTCCAATCCATCCATTTTCGAAACCGCTTAGTCCCAAACAGGGTCAGGGTGGGCTGGAGCCAATCCCAGGCAGCTGTGGGGTACACCCTGGACAGGTCGCCAGTCCATCGCAGGGCTAACACACAGCCAAACAACCACTCACACAGACACTCCTATGGGCAATTTAGAGACACCAATCAACCTATGCTGCATGTCTTTGGACTGTGGGAGGAAGCTAGAGCACCCGGGGAGAACCCATGCAAGCATGAGGAGAACATGCAAACTCTGCACAGAAAGGCCCTGGGTCGGCTGGGGATTAAACCCGGAACCTTCTCGCTGTGAGGCAACAGTGCTAATCACTGTGCCACCGTTTTGTCTGTTAGTAGTGTTTGTCTGATGGTACTGTACTACTAAAGATATTCACATGTTGTGCCTTATGTGTCTGCCTGTTTTTTTGCCTCTGAGAATACCCCTGCTGTTGAGCTGGCTGACCTGACTCCCAGTGTCACCAGGCATGGTGTTGTTATGAAACATGCTATAAAACATCACAGAATTATCCTTAGTTCCCTCTAGCTGGTACACACTTCTATCGTTAATATGACTGACCCATACACACAGCACACATGTTGAGAGCCATTCAAGATCAGTTCCATGTAGACTGGTAGAGCTAGATGTATTTCATATCTTTTTTCCACAAGAGGGTGGTCAAGCCTTTCTGCTGGTCTCTTCCTCCGCCATTCGGTAGCAAAGAAATGGATACACACTACAGACAAACAAAATAGTGCCATGGTAACAGCAAACCCTGGTGCGGATTAGAGTTAAGGGAGCATCTTTACCCACAGTAGTCATTTTACAAATGGCTGCATCTTCTAAGAAAAAAAACTGATTTAGAATATTTGCAATTTTCACTGTAATGTGTTGAAGTTGAGATAATATTATTGAAGTGAAAAATTGAGTACTTGAATAAATGTACTTTCCAACACTGCATATCAGAGCTACTGCTAATGCAACCTCAGTATTTTCTATTTTCTATCTTTATAGTAAAAGTCCCTGGTAGGCTAGTGGTTAAGGCACAGCACTCTTGCTGCTGTGGCCCGGGTTTGAGTCAGGATTGTAGCAGGAAGGGCATCTGATGTAAAACATGTGCTAATGTCAACATACAAGTTGCTGGTGTGATGATTCACTGTGGCGACCCCTCAAAGGGAAAAGCCAAAAGTGACTTTCTTTATAGTAAAAAGTATGTAACTGCAGGGTGTCTGATGATGAATGTTTTAATGATTTTAATAAAGTAATGTAATTTCTTCTGAAGTTTTCTCATGCATTCTCATTTCTTCAGACAGGTTATCAAGCTATTCAAGTATTTGTAAAACATCTAAAATGTTAGTAAGCTAGATTTTAAATATTTCTGTATGTGATTTTAGCCAGATGAGCTATTTTAAATAACAGATTTGAAACAGGTCTGGGGCAGATAAGCAGAAGAGAATCCAAACTGGGCCTGGCATAGATTTGCTGCTTCATGAACCGAAACAGATGTCACTTAATTTTAACACATACAGGTTCCATAGGCCATGATACTTCACCACAGAGTCAGTTTGCTATCTGGGTTAGGTTTAGCAATACTGGGAAGTTTGAATCTAACAAGATGAATAAAGTAATTGTATTTGTAAAGCAGCTTTACAGGAGATGTAGCTAATTTCATTTACAGGGTGTTGCTAGTGATCCATTTCAGATTAATTAATGAATGAGGTATTTCTCCTATGTAGTGGCTTGGACGTAATGTAAGTAAAAAAAAAAAAAAGCACGTCTGTTAATACCTTGTTTCTGTAACGATAGAAAAAATTGTTGTAAGTCTGGAGAAGTTACTATACATAGCCATATATAGTATCAGATTGTCAGCCATTGTCTTGTTTTTGCTGAAGAACTTGTTTTTGACTTGTACTTTTTGCGTTGTGGACCCAACAAAGCTGTTGATTATAAATTAAAATGAATGATATGATTTGGAAGTCTTTTAAAACCCACATTTAATTGAAAATAGTACAAAGACTAGATTAGACTGAGAAATGTAGTTTTTTTATATATAAAAATAAAAATCAGCTTATTTAAATTTGATGCCAGCAGCACATTTCATAAAAGTTGGAATGGGGATGTTTACCACTGTGTATATCACCTCTTTTTTCAAGAACACTCTGCAAGTGTTTGGGAGCTGAGGGGACCAGTTGCTTTAGTTCTGAATGAGAAATGTTTTCCTATTTCTGATATGATTTTCAGCTGCACAACAGTTTGGGGCCTCCTTTGCTGCATTTTTCACTTCATGATGCGCAAAAGTTTTTGGTGAGTGACAGACCTGGACTGCAGACAGGCCAGTTTAGCACCACTTTAGTAAAATGTGTAGAATGTGGTTTGGCATTGTCTTGCTAAAATAAACTCCTTCACTGAAAAAGACATCATCTGAATGGCAGCCTCTCACCTCAAACCTGTATATGTGATTCAGCATTAATAGTGCCTTCACAGATGTGAAAGTTCTTCATGCCATGTGCACATGTAACCCTTTGTCATCATGGATACTGGCAGGTTTTAATGTCTTTCTGTAAGTTAGACGGGAACAGACGCAGTCTTGAGGGATCAGGCAGAGAGCAGTACTTAGTTCAGTCTGAGGTTGAAATCTCCAGCAGGGCAGCAGGGAAGGCAAGGCAGAATCATAGGTGGATAGAAGAGGCAGGGTGTCCATCTCAGGATAGCAGTCAGGCAAGAGGGAGCAGGCAGGGGTTTGGTATCAGGATAGCGGTCACTGGAAAATAATGCTGGCGAGTCTAGACAGGGCATAGAACAATCTAGCAGCTCCCCACAGGGTGAGGAGCTGCTACAGTATATACTGTGGTGAGCAGGTGTGAGTGATTAAGGGGCAAGTGAAACCAATGTGCAGGATGAGATGAAGTTACTGGGAGTTAGGGTGAGCTGGGGACAGGAAGTGGTGTCAGGACATTTCCAACATTTTAAAATGTTATGAATGTGGAAAGTTCCATATCCCCTCTGTAGTTATTAGTAAATGTTGTGATATTAGGTTTCTGTTAAGATGTTATTTTGTTGTTATAAATTATTTATAAAACTGTCATGATTTCATAATTAGCCTAAATGTTCCTATATTGGAAACTTATTTACAAGCACATCTTCAATCCATATAATGTATCCTACCTATTTCCAGCATGTATTATTATGAAACAAATTTGTCTTTATCAAATCTGGAATGTCAGATATTTAGTCTGTCACACTTGATACTTTATCCTGTCATATTTCGTAAACAAATTTGTAACAAAAAGGAATGTGATGAAGTAAATAATACAGGGGACACTTCATTTGCTCAAAGGATGCCCATCATTTTGTTTCCTGGTTCCTATGGGCAATTACAAAACATTATCATAGTTACAACCTTGATAACGAAACTTATAATAACAAAGCTATTTGAGGTGCTCTTATCACGTTTCCCATGTCCCGCTAGAAGAAAGTACTTATTGCATTAGCAGCCTACTCTGAAATTTGTATTTGTAACCGTCCGAACGATTGTATTCAATAAAGTTTAAGTCCTTCTCATGTGACCTCAGCATTTGCATCACGTGAACATCGCGTTTCTCTGCTTCCGTAATTACGCTAGTGGTACGCCCTGGAGTTGGGTATGAAGATGGCGGACGAAGAGGCCGAGCAGGACTTGGGTCCTGAGAAACGTGTTAGTGAAACGGTTGAAGAACTTAGACAACGGTTGCAAGAACTGCAAGACGTCGTGGTTAGAGACACTCGCAAATGTTCAGCTCAGTCATCTTCAGAGTATTGCCAAGAGTTTTGTAGGGTGAGTTATCTTTCCTTACGTATTTAGCTAATAAGCTACCCACCTAGCATTAATAATAGCGGTAAGTCTTAGGTCCTTGATATGTTAATGTAGAGAAATATTTTATTTCAAAGACGAGTTATGTTCGGATGAGCAGGGTAGTTGTTAATAGTGGTGTTCCCAGTAACGAGATAAAACACGTGTTAATCGGCTAAGCAGCACAAATAGAATTGAATTTGACCGCTAACACGGTCAGTTCAGTTAGCTAGTTGCTAACAAATATGCTAGCGGATAGTTGTGTTTACAGAAGGTAATGTTAGTTAATTTAATTTTATTGGCGTTGAATACCTTTCACATAGTTATCTGTCGCAGCCTGGTTTCAACAGGCTAAGAGCCGCCTGTTCTATGTTTATCTTCAGGATCGTGAGAATTACCAGCTACACGTTAGCATACCATCCACCCAGTTCTATCTGCAGTTAGCCTAGCGTTAGCTTTTAGCTTGTATGTTTGGTCACATGCGCGTGCACGTCAGACTAATTTCGCTGATTGTGTTTGAGCGTAACGTTCTCCATAGACAACCAAAACGAGTTTCAGTTTTGTGATGGTTTTTGTCTCCAATTGAAGTGGACACAACAGCGTAAAAGTCAACTACTTTGCGTGAAATGTAGCGAATTTGATAAGACCGCACAAGAGGATTTGAGTTTTTCCCGCGATTGATTTCAGTGTGTACGTGCCGATTAGAACGCACGCTTTGTCGTCCAGGTTTGTCCTTTTCTTGTTCCATTAATGGCACAAATGCTTTCTAAAAACTATTTAATATAAATTGTCTTTATTGAATCCTGCCCGTTGCCCATTGGTAAGCTACCCGCACTATCCAGAGGTTTAAATGTATTTGGCATGTTTTGTTCGTATGAGAGTACAGCGAGGGAGGATTTACATTAAGCATCTCAATTCTCATTGTAGCTGTTTTCTTGGTTATCGGATTTGGAAAAAGCAAACGTGTTCGTTGTTTCCAGAAAGAGCATAAGTGGTTTATGATAATAAAATAATTCGTCTAACTAAAAAGAACAGACATTCTAAAAAAAAAAACGTATTAGATGTAGGGTCACGAGGAGAGCTTCAGAGACATTATTTATATAGTGATGGATTCTCAGTTAAAGCCCTAATGAATTTTCAGCCGGCTGCAATGTGGAGAAAAGCACAAAATCCATTGTTAAAACAACAGTATTGTTGTGTACAAGGATAAATGCTAATATTTTCAAGCACTTGCCCTGCAAGCCACCAAGCCAATCAATTTGCTGTCGAACGTTTTGTGGGCCAAATGTAAGATCAATGTAGAAAACTTAACACAGCCTTCCTTAACAGTGACATTTCAATAAATGAAAAGACACTAACAGAATGAAAACGCGACTGTTTAAACTGAAAACATATTCTCTCAGTTCAGCCTTTTTTGCCCCCCCCCCCAAACTACACATCTGCCTCATACCAACTCTGTTTTGCTCCCTTCCTCCCTCCCAGCATTGTGCCTCATTCAGTGATGTCTGCGAGCGAAACATTACAAAAGCAGCTGAAAACCTACAGTATAATACATGCTTCTAACTGTGGCCTTCTTTGTCAAAATACGTGGACAGAGTGAAGATAATTTAATCATTTTTTTTTACAATTTAAAAACAAGTTAGCTACCATGCAGCTAATATGGAGTACATAGTTTAGACTGTTTTGGAAAATACTGAATCTGTAAACAACTGCTTGGTGTGGTCATGACACAACAAGGTAATTTTGCATGCAGCTACACAACAGGGGAGCATTATCTTCCATGGTGTTAATAGGTGGAAAACTGTTTTTTCCTGTCCTGACAGTGCAGGCTGGAAGTAGCTCCAGAGATGAGGTATCCAGCCAGACTTCTCAAGGTCAAGAGGTCAAGAATCTTTATTTTCATTATGCATAGCACAACAATTTTTTTTCTGACAGCTCTTGGCTTAAGACACATTATTTACATAACACAAAATTGTATAAGTCAATATAAAAGTATGAACAAATAAAGAAGGATGTATGGGACCTAGTCAGGTCAGCAGCATGTTGGTAGCAAAAGAGTGTAGTAACATTATAAAGTGCAGCTCAGTGCAAATCTCAGTCTTTAGGAAGAGGTGTGAGCATGGGTGTGTGTCTGCAGAGGTCCAGTATTCTGTCTGTGTCTGTCCATAGGGGAGAGGTTGTGTGTGTGACTTGGGGTTAGGGGGTGATTGATTTCACAGCTCTGGAGGAGAAGCTGTGTCTCAGTCTTTGTTTTAGTCTTTATGTATCTGTACCTTTTCCTGGAGGGAAGAGGCACAAACAGACCATTGCCTGGATGGGTGGGGTCTGCAGCAATCCATCTGGCCCTCCTCTGGATCCGGTCAGTGTATAGTGAGTCCAGATCCAGAAGAGGACCCCCTACAATGCCCTGAGCTGTTCTCACCACCTGGGTCAAGTCCTTTCTGTCCTGTGCAGTGCAGCTCCCATACCACACTGTCACAATGAGACGGAGGATGCTCTCTACTGTCGCTCTGTTGAAGTTTCCTGAGGAAGAAGAGCCTTTGCTGGGCTTTCTTCACCAGGTAGGATGTGTTCAGAGACCAGGTCAGGTCAGATGTGATGTGGATGCCCAGGAACTTGGTGCTATACACTTGCTCCCCCACCACCTCCCCATGTATGAGAAGAGGAGCATGTTTTGTCTTCCTGGACCTCCTGTAATCCACAATGACTTCCTTAGTCTTGGTGTTCAGGACAAGATTGTTATCTGAACACCACCATGTCAAGTTCTGGATCTCCTCTCTGTAGTAAATCTCATTATTGTCTGAGATGAGACCCACTATGGTGGTGTCGTCTGTGAACTTCACAACTGTTTTTGTGGTCATGAGTAAACGGAGTGAAGAGAACTGAGCTGAGCACACAGCCCTGTGGTGTGCCTGTGTTCAGGACCAGTGTGGATGATGTGCAGCTTCCGATTCTCACCACTTGAGGCCTGTTAGTGGGAAAGTCCTTAATCCAATGACACAGCACTGCAGGCATTCCCAGATTGTGCAGTTTCAGTGCCAGTTTGTCTGGGATTTCAGTGTTAAATGCCGAACTGAAGTCAACAAATAGTATCCCAACATAAGTGTGAGGATGCTCCAGGTAGGACAGGGCTGTGTGTAGTGCTATTGAGACAGCATCCTCTGTTGATCGGTTCTCTTTGTAGGAGAACTGATGGCTGTTCAGACCAACAGGGATGATGTCCTTGATGTGCTTTAGAACAATCCTCTTAAAGCACTTCATAAATACTGGTGTCAGAGCAACAGGGCGGTAATCAGAGGCAGGTGACAGCTGATGTCTTGGGCACAATAATGGAGGACTTGAGGCACACAGGGACTGAAGCAAGATACAGGAACAGGTTAAAAAGGTTAAAAATGTCCAGGAAAACTCCTGGTCAGCACATAGCTTCAAAACTCTGGTCCTGCGGCTTTGTTGGTGTAGCTGCAGGACACGAGGCTCTATGCTGTTCCTCAAGCTGAGGGAGTTGTACAGTTCCTCTGCTGCCAGGTGTATCAAAGCGTGCAAAGAAACTGTTCAGAGTGTCAGGGAGGGTGGGATCATGGCTGACCTGATTGTTGTTGCCTCTGTAGTCTGTTATTGTTTTGATGCCTCTCCACATACTCTGTGTGTTATTCTTAAAGTGCCCCTCAATGCGCTGCTTGTACCTGCGTTTGGCCAGCCGGGTGTCCTTCTTTAGTTCTTTCTGGGCCCTGCTGTAGGCCAGCCTGTCACCTGTTCTGAAGGCAGCATCCCGAGCTTTGAGCAGACGTGACACTGTACTGTCCAACCATGGTAAAGTCTCCAGCCATAATCACAGCCGCATCTGGGTTTGCATTCATCTGCCTGCTGATCAGGCAGTACAGCTCCAGCACTAATTTAGCGTTAGCTCGCAGTGGTATATAGACGGCTACAATCCGGATTGAGCAAATCTCTCTCACCGTTTTAAAAGGTCTGCATTTCACTCTCTCAAATCTAAATATTTACACAAATCAGGCACAACTTTTATCATGATTTCATTTCTGTGGCAAAAAAAAAATCTGAAACAGCTTTTGATATGACCATCCACAGCTACAACTACAAAGTAGCTCCTGTCTCTGATGACTGTAAAATTGAAGATACACACTAGCAAAAATGAATCTGATTCCTATTTGAATGCACAGTTGTTTCTTTTTTTTTGTTACTTTTTTCCCTCTTATTTTTCCATTTCCTGTGGCTTTAAAACACATTGAGACCCTCTGTATGGGAGTCAAATTCCTGTATGTTCAATCATACTTGGCCATTAAAGATTTATTCAGATTCTGAGATGCACTGATCGATCAGTGGAGATCGGAAATGGCCATTTTTCAGTATGATTGGCCTTGACCGTTGACCGGCTAATCACTCTGAGATTTCCAGTTCTGTGCCAATCAGATTTGGAAGCAGGACAGCCCACATTGCACAGACCAAAAGCATAGCGTGTGCAGCGCTTAGCCCCTCACTTACACCTCAAGCAATACTCCTGTCTGTGCCAAGCTATGTGTTTGTGCAGAAGAGCTGACAGAAACACCTTGGAGAAGGAAAACCTACATCCAAATCTCTGACACACAGTACACGATGAATTACTGGCTATGCATAAAATGCACATATACTGTATATGTATCTGACCCATGGTAAAATACAGCAAATAACACACAGTTCAAAAGCTACTGTGAGCTCAGTAGGACTGATGTAACAGACCTTCTGTTTGTTACCCGTTTATATTTGGAGAAGTAAAATATTGCATTTTATTTATTTAAAGTCAGGGAAAGACAGAAATGTAAAACTTTTTTATTTTTATTACAATTAAATTTTTAATTAAAGACAAGTTACAACAATGTCTGTGTATGCCGTCCCTGGTAGGCTAGTGGTTAAGGGTTCGAATCAGGGTTGCGCCAGGAAGGGCATCCGGCATAAAACACGTGCCAAATGTCAACATGTGAGTCGTCGGT